ATTGAAAAATTAAAAAAAAATGTACTATGTACTAAAATAGGATACATGTAAATGGCTGTGTTGTTTCCATATTTCTTAACAACTGAAACAACGTCAATGCAATGAGATGATATGCATCTAATATATTTCTGAGGATTTYGATATTAGGATTCTTGCCAGAAGTGAATGAAAAATACGTCCCTTTAGAATTACCTATTTGATTCAATTTTTTTAAGTTCGTATTTGAAAACTATATCAATTGATATAGATGAGAATGTCATCGGAATATCTTTGGTTAGCTTATTAATAGAAAAAAAAACCTAGAACAAAGGATATTTGAGACACTATATTAATCATAGGACTCGACTTCACGCACGCACAAAACAAAATCAAATTGTTTCATCCATGGTACTACGCATGCATTCTATTTTTTAGAACATCATCAGTGTCTGCCTGGGAGCATTATTTCAGTTAATACTAGGGAAATTGTCAATGGGAAATTTATTTCAAATGGGAGGCATCATGATACCACCTGGACAAGTGCTTCTAACTAGCGTGACGCAGTCCTATTACGGTAATGCCCGTATGATAAACTGCATCGAAAAATGTGGAGACATCTCTACATGTCACAGTATTAATTGGTACAGAGATCTGGGATTGTGTCAGCTGAACAACGAMACTCATCTGTCGTATCCTGAGGGTGTTGTCGCAAACTCAACTGGAGATTACATGATTTACGGCGTTCATCCAATGGTAATTTGCAGCAACAAGGTGTGTACCGAACGAAGMTTTTGCCTAATGGAGGAAGATGGTATGGACTTTAGATGTAAAGGTGAGGCACTCAAAATTATTTAGTTAGTAGTATTCGGCAATTAAAAACAACATTTTTTTAATATATAAGATAATTGCAGTTCGGCATTGGGGATGGAAGATGGTCGCATCAAAGATTCTCAACTTAGTGCATCTTCGTATTACCRCGACAACCTTGGACCACAAAGAGCTCGCTTATACTCAAATGTCCCAGATGGAAGTTGGGCAGCGAGACACTACGTTGCTGGTCAATACCTTCAGATCGATCTCCTTTCTTCTCATGTCATCACACATGTCGCCACACAAGGAAGAGAGTATCGGTACCATCAATGGGTAACTAAGTATTACCTCATGTATAAATACAGAGGTGTAATCTGGAAATCTTACAGATATGGTGGCACTGTTAAGGTAGATATGATTTTGTTTGTTAAGAAAACCTCAATAAGTTCATATAAAGGGAAATTTTATGATTAGTAAAAAGACGATTTAAGTACAGAGGATTATTCTTTTATTATTTACTGACAAATCAGGGCTTAGGGCTGAAGAGTAAATTGTAAGTTAAATAGCTAAATATACAATTACCGTAAATCGTGAACTATATACGTCATACTCATTTATTCCAGGAGTTTGAAGGCAACGTCGACAAGAAATCCGTTGTTACTCACAAGCTTCCAGCACCAATCAAAACGGACGCTATTCGGTTTGTTGCTCTAGAGTGGCATAGCGGCATTGCATTGAGGGTGGAGCTCTATGGGTGTACTGCTAATTAAAGGTTAATTCACTTATTAGAAGGAACAGATGGAAATTGTTTTAGTAGCAAAGTTTGGATTTAGAAGTAAACTCGTTGAAAAAAGACTTTAATCTGATACTGCTGTTAGTAGGAGGTCCAAATAGCACATTTCTGTCAATTACATGTCGAATATTCATCGGATGACTTTTATACCCCGCTAAATACATCCAGAACTGAGGCATTTGCTCCAGTGCGCATGGGAAAGAAATGAAGACATTTCTTTGATGAAATTTGATCTAGTTTTGGTAATGATGAAACAACTACTTAAAGTCATACGTGCATCCTTCTTGATTTTGAACAAATTAGACATCATTTACAAATTAGACATCATTTACAAAACAAAATGAGCGATCGCAAAGTTTCTTAGGTGCMCCTTTGGTTTTTAAGTGATAAAAAGAAATTTTGATTAAAAAAAATCCTTAACCTACATTTTAATTAAAGAAAAACCCTCTAATAAACTTTATCACCTTGATTCTGTTCTGCTCCTCTTGATATTTTCTTGTTTTTCGTGAATAGTTTGTTTGCGTCATCCATCCAAATGACCACCTAAGGTTCTGTTTGCATCCATATTTTATTACTTGCATTTTGGAGCTAAGAATGTTACAGTAAATAATAAATCAATCAGATAGATAAGGTGGTTAGTATGTAGCTAAGGAAAAGAAAGAAAAATCGATCAGATTGTCACGTTTTCAAATATGTAAAAATGAATAAATGTCTTAAGTTAATTATCGCAAACTTGTCTTTATCGTCATTAGATTTTAAAACTCCATTAATATATAATAGTCCATGCTAAATTGGTGTTTTACGAATTTTTAGTAGTTACGATTTTAAAGTCCATGTTTTGAAGGCACTTAGGGGCTRSACAATTATCATCATGCGGTGGAGAGGGCTGAAAAATAAAATAATAGTGTAGATACCATAACTGAAAAATTAGGCAGTTTTAATCATGTAGACATGACACTGCACGACATTTGACAACGTACTGGGATATATAATGGCACACTAAAATTTAACCTTAGAAAATCTCGTTAAACATTCATCTTTCTCGACCCTTTATTTCGACTTGTAATTAAGCTTGATTGTTATGAAAGAAAAACAAATCCAAAATGAATAATTCCTAAAAAAAGAAGGAACCTCATGCAATCAAGGTGTTGGCACGTTTCCTATATGTTTAAATTCTCATGATCAGTTCACCATTGACTGTAACTCCCGATAGTCAATTGTTATTCAGAGTTCTCACCGTGTTTCCAAATGGCCGCCTTTCTAAGTGTAAGTACGCCAAATTACTGTAAAAATCCGTTTTCATTATCAAGAACGACATTTGTTATTGATATAGCTCGCGAAATGTTAAAACTCTTCATCACTATGAAAGAATCGTTTAACTATTCGCAAAATTAAAAAACTTATGCAGACAAAACCAATAAATATGGGTCTAGACAGTATTGCAAACCTCAGTCAATCATTCCAGTACTAAACTAAACACACATATTTGTGAAAGTACTTGCTATGATGCTCTATGTATATCTGTGTCGCATTTACAATGGGTGCTAATTTTACTGACCAAAACAAGAAAAGAAGCATTTAAAGCGAATACCAAGGATTCAGTCTCATCTATAGTGCTGGTAAACTCATAAAGAAAAGATGTTTTCGAATTTTTCGAATTTAAAAATTCTTTTTTTTTTAATTTTTAATTTTACTTTTGCTCTCGGATTTCGTTAATTAACTGATCAAAAAATGAACCAATCAAACTAGATCATAATCAGATCTAGATCATAATAATTGGTGACAAAATGTCCGCAAAAACAATGAATTCTGCCCAATACTTTTATTATTCTAAGCACACGGGTCAAGCAAGCAATATTGAATTCTTYTTCTTTTTAAATATGTTTGATACCACGTCGCATGAACTAATTTTTTCCAGTACACCATCACTGYCTAACCGRTAGCATTATTTCAATTATTACTGGGGAAATTATCAATGGGGAACTTAATTCAAATCGGAGGTATCATTTCATTTCTTAAAATTGTTTCAAAGGCATACCCGAGAACTTCATTGTCAGTTTATTTTTTCCGACCTTTTTACTTAAAGGGACATGGACCACCAGCATCCCTTTCGAGCTTTTGTTTATGTTTGAAAATAGAAATAAATCGTAATATAAGCAAAAGCGTACTCCTTATATATCATTCCTTAATCCTATATGAATGGAGATG